TGTCGGTTAAGGCGCGACGGCCATTCTGCCCACACTCAGCGTGTCGGACGCGTACGGCCTGTCAGTAGTATCGACTCGGTATCCTCTGTCGACTTGCTGGCTTGAACGAGATTCGTTGGAGATCTGGTCTGTGGTGCGTCTGCCAATAAAAAGACGAGTGTAGCGAAGTATCGGGGTGGGGTTCAAGTGTGGCGACGCATAGTGTTCGTAGCGTATATACGCGTACGTACGTCTGCGTTTGGCGCCCGGCCAAAAGACTGCATAGGAACTGGGTAAATAAGGCACACGCTAGCTGACTACGTCGCCGGATTCAATTCGCTGGCGTCGAATTTAACTCGGCGCGGTGGTGAAAAGCGAATGAAGGTAAATACTAACAGACGAATGGAAAACATGGAGAATCGAGCGATAACAAGATAGACAAACTGCGTGATTGAAGACTTGATGGAATAACGGGGCATCGGGCGCAGGCCTACGGATAGACAAACAGGCAGACAGATAGATTGATGGACGACCATTTGCGTAAATCAGGACGGACGGACGGACAGACGGGCAAACAGAAGGACGGACCGACGGACGCACTGACGGACGGAGGGGCGAACGAAATGAAAGGTAGAAGGGGGAGACACGTTGGGATGGGCATACAGGCGTACGGACGTATACAACCGAGCAACATTTCTGCTCACCTGACCAGAGATTGTGACCTTCCTCTCTTCACTGACACTCTCCCACGTGAACCAAACGACGGACTTGATGGCGACGTTCAGCTGTCCGCGGCTACACGACACAGGCGTGGTGTCGTGCACCCACTCCTCGCGTGGTCCCGAGATTATCCATATATGCTTATTATCGTACAACTCTTGACGGTATATCTGCATATCAGAAGATCGCGATCAGTGTTCCATACATACCTGTCGTGATGTCCGAACAGTGGCAGGGTCAGTGCTGGCTATATGGCTATGGTTATGATCGTTGTTATAGCCCCACGGTCTCGGTCTCGGGCATATCTATGGCTGCGGCTACCGTTGTGGTTACGTTTACGGTTACCTTTACGGTTACAGCTGCGTTTACGGTTACGGGTACGGTTACGGTTATGGTTACGGTAACGGTTACGGTCAGTAATACGCTCAGGTTTACGGTCAGAGTTAGGTTTAGGGATGGGTCATGAGGTTTGGGTTAGGGTTAGGATCAGGATTACCATTATGAGTAAGGTTAGATTTAAGCCTACGTATAGAATTGAATTTCGCTTAGGGTTATTGAGTTAATGTTACCTAGCAATATCTTATGCTCAATGGTAATGGTGAATTTATGCTATAATTAGATTTTGGAGAATGGTACATAGTTGGACGCATATAGGTCATAGGATTAGATCCTATAAAATCGTCTATTAATTAAATTGGCTGATGGTTGCTGGAAACGCACGCGGAATGCACAGCCTATAACAGTATGGCATAGTATAGTATAGTATGGAATGGTATGGTATGGTATGGTGTGCTGTGGTGTGGTGTGGTGTGGTGTGGCGTGGCGTGGCGTGGCGTGACGTGCGTGGCGTGGCGTGGCGTGACGTGGCGTGGCGTGGCGTGGCATTGCGTGGCATGGCATGGTATGGTATGGTATAATATGTTATGGTAGGGTATGTTATTGTATTGTATTGTATTGTATTGTATTGTATTGTATTGTATTGTATTGTATTG